TACTATAATGATCATAAGGAGCACCCAAAATAATATAGGTAATGACTAAGGCCCCTACAGTCTTCTAAGGTCAAAGGTTCAGAGTTTGGGGTTTATCCGTGCGGTCTCTCGGACAGGCTCGAAGCAACCACTTGGAGACTAGACTACAGGATCATTACGAGTTCTGCTTGGGGGTTTAGGGTTTAGGGTTTCTAGGGTTCAGGGTTTAAGGTTCCCAAATACGGTAGAGGTTTGCGCTTAGGGTCTAGGATTTAGGGTTTAGAGTTTAAGGTTCCCAAGGGAGGGGTTTGGGATCGAGGGTTCAGGGTTTTGGTCTCACCAATGGGGCTAGCAAACCCGGCTGCCCAGATCCAAGAAATGAAGGACTCAGCCGGGTTGTGGTTGAGGAACTTAGCAATGATAACATGCATTCCCCAATTCTATGGATAGTGCTATCTACGGTTTAAAGTTTAGGGCCTCGGTTGTGAATGTTTCGGGTTAAGACAACTACTTGACGCTTCACTGGAGTAATGATATCAAAAAGATCGGTATGACTACTCAGGGGTCAGGGCTTAGTGAGGTACGGCTTAGGAACTCAAGTTACCAGAATAGGTAGAAAATACAACAGTGATTCCCCCTGGCTCAAGCCCGAAAGACCCGAAGGGCCCCAAACGCTAAAAGCAAAAAAAAAAAACACCTGAACCCCTAAAGCCCTCAGCCCCGTTAGGAGCCGGCACCCTCCTTGTCGCTAGGGGAAGTTTTATATACTCAAGTCTTTCGCCACATCTCAGTCGAGGTCGCGCATCGAATCTTTTCGGCCCGCACCCGAACCATGTGGGCTTAGGGTTCAGAGGGTGCTTAGTGTCTGTAGGCTCTTAAGCTCACGCTATGAGATTGAAGCGGTTAGCTTTTGTGGGCTCGAGCCTGTTGACAGTACGACCCTTAAGCCATAAACCCTTCCGAAACCCAACCCTAAACCCTAAACCCATGTACACCCCAAAAGCACACTTGAGGGCGCGGCCGGCATGGTCACATGGGCCTGCATGCCGGCGCCAACCTGGGCAGTAGGGCCACTGGGATTCCCTTTCGGGTGCTTTCGAGGCTTCCTTCGAAGGTTCATTGAACGCCAGGAGTTCCAATCACCCTTAGAACCCTGGCCAAAGTGTGAAAGTGCAAAACCTGCTCGTGCTAAACCCTATAAGCCCTAAAACCGGAACCATAAACCCTACAACCTTACAGTTTCGGAAGGCTTTTCAACAACATGGCAAGGGGGCGATTCTCAAGCCTCGAAAAGCGCGCATCTTGCAAGCACGAAGGAATGCGAGCGACAACCCTTGCATGCGTAAGGGGATCAGCAACCGGCCACTGTTGCACGAAGTTGTGAGGCTTCGCGCAATGTGGCCTGCCGGTACTCGCCACTATTCGGTGACAAGTCGGCCATCATTGGAGTGATAGTTGCAACCCAGTCCCCAGCTTGCATCGGAGCTTGATTCGGATCCAAGTCCGGCCATTTCGGAAGATCCGCAGAAGCCGTAGAAGCCCCTGAAAGGGAGCCGCCCCCACAAACAGAACTGGCGTCGGTTGAGAGATGGCGACTTTTATGGAGTCGACGATTTAGAGTTTAGGGTTTAGGGTTTAGGGTTTAGAGTTTAGGGTTTAGGGTTTAGGGTTTAGGGTTTAGGGTTTAGGGTTTAGGGTTTAGGATGGGGCTGGAGGAATCTGGCAGCCGAGACCCTCATCGGGTTTAGGGCTTGGGATTTATGGGATTTATAGGGTTTATAGGACTTATAGGATTTATGGGATTTATAGGACTTCTAGGATTTAGAAGTCCTATAGGATTTACTGTATGGGGCTTAGGGCGTAAGCCCCTGAACCCTGCTCTACCCCGACGTTAGATGTACGGTGAAGAGATCAGGGGTTGGGCTTGAGGTGGAGGTTTCAGGGCTTTAGTGGCAGGTTCGGCGATGCTCCGATAGCGGCCTTGGAGTAAAGCTCAAGGGTTCAGGGTGTAGGGTTTAGCTCTTAAGGTTTAGGGTCCAGGGTTTAGGGCCCTTAGGGTTTAGGCTCAAGGGTGAAGGTCGCAGCATTGAGGACGTCACGGGCCGTCAGTTTGAGTACGCGTCTCGGCCTCACGTCGCCGCTTTCACTTTGCTGACTCTCCTCAGTTCCATACACCAAACTTCCGAAATCATAGCGGTGCTTAGGGGGGTAAGGACGAGGGGGTCGGGGACTATGGGGACTATACTTCCTTACATCACATTGTTCGGCTTTTTGCTACAGGTCTGAAGGCCCCCTACCCCCCTAAGGATCCTTATGACTGCACCTTTCCAACGAACCTGTGCGTAACCAGGATGTCCAGTCATAGCTCCAAGTATGAGACGGTATACACCCCTTTTGACCCTAAACCCCTAAACCCTAAACCCTCAAACCCTACACCATCCTAAACCCTAAAACCCTAAACCCTAAACCCCGACCCCCTAAACCCTAAAACCTAAACCCTTACCCCTAAAACCCTAAACCCTAAACCCTAAACCCCTAAACCCTAAACCCTAAACCCTAAACCCCTAAAGGAGCTCCAAAAGAAACCCCAGCCCGGACCCCGGCCGGCAGGCCGGCGCTGCCCTGCGCTTGGTAGCCCACCTCAGAGAGGGAGGGACGGCGTATGAGGGTTTAGGGTTTAGGGTTTTAGGGTGTAGGATGTAGGGGTTCAGGGTTTAGGGTTTTAGGGTTTTAGGGTTTTGGGTTTAGGGTTTTAGGGTGTAGGATTTAGGGGTTTGGGGTTTAGGCTTTACGGGTTTAGGGTTTAGGGGTTTAGGGTTTGGGAATTGGGGCTTGGGGTGCAGGAACCCTTAGCCAGAGTATCAGTAAATTACTCAAGCCTCTGTAGTTCGTGGGGTTTGAGGGTGTAAGGCTTGTTAATCTAGGTTTGGGGTTTGGTGTAGCGTTTTGTGAGAGTTCTAGAACGGTTCCTGCAAGGCTGCAAAGGTTCTAAAGGGGGGTTGTATATGGGGTTGGTGGTTAGGGTGGAGTGCAGGGTGTTGGTGGTTTTTGGCTTTGGGGGTTTGGGAACCCTAAACCCTAACCCCAAACCCTAAACCCTAAACCCTAATTGGGGTTCGGGATCTTGTGGTTTTCGGCCTTGGGGCTTGGAAGGCCTATAGGTCCAAGCGTTTCGGTGTGCGGTCCAAGGGTTGGGCTTAGGGTTTAGGGTTTAGGGTTTAGGGTTTAGGGTTTTTGGGGTTGGGGTCCAGTGCAAGTGAATCGGGAATTCACCACAACACAATCACCCTGATGACCTCAGTCATTGCAGTGTCCACAATGTATTGAAGCCAAAACCCTACTGAAAGGGTCAGAGCACTTAGCATGTAGGGTCAGGAATATGGCAGCTCTAGCTACATCTATTGATAACGCTACTTACTCAGCCCGTTTAAACGCTAAACCTGCACAAAGACCCTGTGGGGCCGGAACTGGGATGCCAGCGCTACCCACGCCGACCTCGTTTGATTTGGGGTCAAGGGTACAGGGCTCAGGGCTTAGAGTTTGGGTTTTGGAACCTAATTAATGTCTGAGGAAACATCTTCTCACCCTTGAAGCGGGACACGCACTCTCCGGGAGGAATGCACACGGAGTGAAGCTGTTGGGCCTGAAGTTAGGACTAGGGTTGTGCGTTCAGGTTCAGGCTTCGAGTTCAAGCTCAGAAACTTCAACTGTATCTACAGCTTGGGATTTGGGGTTCATGCGACACGGCCACAGAAGACGAGACGAAGAATGACATCACCGCGCACCGCACAGGCTTAGTGGAGAAGTCAGAGACCCTGAACCGTGAACCGAACCGGATCCTAAGTAGTGTACGCACCGCTTTGAGCTTTGGGATTCGGATTTAGGGTTCCCGGTTCAGGGTTTAAGGTAGCTTCGTCTACACGATCACCACACAAGCATAATCTTACGGGCACAACACCAAGAATAAGATGGAGCTCTGAATAAGGCCGTGTAGTCCCGAAGCCAGCAAGAATAACACGCAGTCATACTCTAATGATTAAGGCCCCTATACCATCCCAGCATCTGGGCGTCTTTGCTTCGGGAAAACTCAAGGCCCCGTACCTAAACATTAGTCCAGCACCCCACAAAGCCGTCCCAAAAGACTATACTGGCCTGAGAAAGTGACTGTATTGTAGGATGATTATGTCGAGACTACAAGAAACCCTAGACCCTAAACCCTAAACCCTGAACCTACACCCTAAACCCTAAACNNCTAAACCCTAAACCTTAAACTACTATAGGGAGACAATAGTTCTAGCTCTGGGCCCGCCATTCGGGTGCCCCGGCTGGCACCCCGGCGCTGCCGGCGTTGATGGCCACCTGTCGTCGAAAGATCCGCGGGCTTTGAGTTGCGATGCACACAGGAAGAGCGGCAGTAGCAAAGCACCTCGCCACTGATGGGACTGAAAATGGTAGCCATAGTCATAAAATGCAGCTCAGACTGGCCCGATCGTCATCATCTTCACAAGCTTCATCCTCGTCCTCATCTTCATCTTGAGGCCAAAGGCAGAAGAAGAACTACGGCAGGACCAAAGCAGTAGCTATAAGGTCAACAAGCTTAGTTACAGTCTCTGCAGCGTTTGTGAGAACAGCAGCATTCAAGGTCACTCAATCCGTCCTCGTTTTCTGCTGCAGTGTGCACGCTGAGAAACCCTGCAGACCCTCTTACCCGAAGCCCTGGAAACCTGCAGGCCAACTCAAAGCCCCCCAAAACCCCAAAACCCCAAAA